AAAGCCAGCCCGGGCAGGAGAGACCGTGAGACTCCTATCTCCAATAAACCACCAGAAAACTGGAAGTGGCGCTGTGGCTCAAGTGGTAGAGCGCTCGCCTTGAGCTGAGGGACAGCACCCAAGCCCAGAGTTCAAGCCCCACGACTGACAAAAAAAAAAAAAAAAAGAAGGATCTCAAGGTCAACCTTGGGCAAAAATATAAGATCCTATCTGAAATATAACTAAAGCAAAAAAGGGCATGAATTAAGTTAGTGGCTGCCTAACAAGCATGAGGCCCCAAATTCATCAAACTAATATAAAAGGTTGCTAAGGTACATTATACGGAAATGTTATAATGAAACTTCCTGTATACAACTAATGTATGCTAGTGAAAAAACTTTTTAAATTTCCAAAAATGCAAAAAAAGGTATGTATATTCATGTGACTGAGATAAATACATTTCATAATTACTCTGTACCAAGTACTAGTTTACACATCTAACATCATTACTAAAACATGCAAATAGAGTTCAATAATCAATTTGACTTACCTTTCTAATGGAATATAGTGAGCTCATAATTGATACTATAGACATAATCACAATGGCTAGAGCATAGTAATAGTATTCATCAGTGCTCCACAGTATAACACTGAACAGCTGAAAAATGTAAAATGGATTGAGAACCTAGAAAACAAGATTTTAAAAAGTTAAATTGAGACATTTACAAGCATGTACATATTCTACCTATTCATTTGAGAAGTTACCAATCAGAAACAAAGGATAAGCTCCCTAGTCTCCCTAGTATTCTAAAGAGTGAGACATGATATTAATGTATTCTTATTTACCATTAAATTACTAAAATCTGGTTAAATAAGATTAAATTTTTGTATCTATTTAGATTCATACTAAACACAGATTCAGATAGAAAAGACTAAACTTATCTGTTCTGCATTCCCTTTTGTAATAAGTACATTTGTTTCCAAATTACTTCTGTTCTCATCCAGTAAAAGATATAAAACTCCTAAACAGAAAGTGGAGCTATGGCTCAGGTGGTAGAGTGCCAGGCTTGAGCAAAAAAGCTAATGGACAGTGACCAGTACAAGCAAAATCAAACAAACAAACCCTTCTTAGCCAGGCGCTCAAGCCTGTTACTCCTAGCTACTCAGGAGGCTGAGATCTGAGGATCCCAGTTCAAAGTCAGTCCGGGCAGGAAAGTTTGTGAGTCTTTTTTTTTTTTTTTTTTTGTCCCATCGTGGGGACTGAACTCTGGACCTGGGCACTGTCCCTCAGCTCTTCAGCTCAAGGCTAGTGCTCTACCACTTGAGCCACAGCGCCACTTCTGGCTTTTTTTTTTCTGCTTATGTGGTGCTGAGGAATGGAACCCAGGGCCTCATGCATGCAAGGCAAGTGCTCTACCACTGAGCCACCTTCCCAGCCCTGTGAGAGTCTTATCCCCAATTAACAACCAGAAAATCGGAAGTGGCACAAGTGCTCAAGTGGTAGAGCACTAGCCTTGAGCTGAAGAGCTGAAGGAGTTCGGGCCCCATACCATGACTGACAAAAAAACAACAAAAAAACCTTAATTGGAGGAAAGATAAAAATGGGTTAAATTGTTTTGTTTTTGAAAAAGCCAGTCACCAGTGGCTCAACCTGTAATCCTAGCTACTTAGAAAACTGAGATCTGAGGATCGCAGTTTAAAGCCTCCCTCAGCCTCAACAGCAAAGTCTGTGAGATGCTTATCTCCAAGACACTACTCAGAAAAAGCCAGAAGTGGCACTGTGGCTCAAGTGGTAAAGTGCTAGCTCAGGGACAGAGCCCAGGCCCTGAGTTCAAGCCTCGGACTGAAGAGGGGGGAAAAAAAAGATGTGCCAGGCACTGGTGGCTCACACCTATAATTCTAGCTACTCAGGAGGTTGAGATCTGAAGATCATGGTTCCCAGACAGTCCAGGCAAGAAACTTCATGAGACTTTTATCTCCAATTAACCACCAAAAAATTAGAAATGAAGCTGTGGCTCACAGTGGTAGAGTGCTATCCTTGAGCAGAAGAGCTCAGGAGAGCCCTGAGATCAAGCCCCACAACCAACAAAAAATAAATGAGAAAACCCTAGCAGTAACTTTACCCTGTTTCGTGGTATTTTATCAACTTCATTAATATCCTCCGAATGGCTTAAAATGGATATTATTACTTCTCAAAGCATTTTCACATATATATAACCTCAAATCTAAAGGAGACACTCAAAGAATTTGTCTATAATATTAGATAAAAGTCAGCAGATTAGATACTATTTTGAAAATAAACTATATAACTTATGGGTAGGGACAGGAAGGAAAAACTGGGAGAGAGCAAGGGAAAAGATGACATTGTCATAAAAAGAAATGTATTTATTACCCGACATGCAACTATAATCCCTCTGTACATCACCTTTATAATAATAAAAAATTGAATTTGCTTTTAAAGTCAGTAGAAACAATGTTTTCTAAATACCAAAGATGGATGTGGGTGTTGATGGCTCAGGCCTGTAATCCCAGTGTCTCAGATCCCAGCTTGGATCTGAAAGATCACAGTTAAGGTGCAGCCTGGGCAGAAAAGTTTGCTAGACTCTCTCTCCAAAATAACCAGCCAAAAGCAAGGATGAAGCATGGCTCAAGTGGCAGAGTGCCAGCCAAGCAAGCAAGCTGTCCAAATGTAAGAACCCCAGTACCACCAAAAAATAATATGGTTACTGATGAGACAACATTACAAATCAGGCTTTCTGCATTCCTTATCATTATAGTATGGTATTTATGTAGACAACATTATACTGTAAAAAACTAATGACAAGTGACTGTTTTCCAGATTGCTAGTCATCCAATACAACTAAGTCTCTTTACCAAAAAACAAACCCAAGATTGACAAGCTTTGTTCTGCTAAGCAGTTTACAGTAGTAATTATAACCTCCTTTACATTTCCATTCACAGACCTTTATTCATGCCACCATGACCCTTATAATTGAACCTTCATATCAACTTGTTTCCTTTCCAACTCCCAGTGTAAGTCCTTAAGGACAAATCATGTTACATGTTCATTTCCAAACTTCTAGGAAAACGCTTAATTTGCAATAATGTACCAGGATATACATAATGTGAAGAAAAGATAGTAGAAAAAAATTCTTAGAGAAAAACATTTCCTACACAGGGAACAGAAAAGGTTTCTATTTCTATTTCTCCTTGTTCTATTCCACCAAACAAAAATCAATTCTTTGGGTTTTTTTGTTTTGTTTTGTTTTTTTGATAAGTCATGGGGCTTGAACTCTAGGCCTGAGCTCTTCAGCTCAAGACTAGTACTCTACCACTTGAGCCACAGTATCACTTTCAGTCTTTTCTGTTTATGTGGTGCTGAGGAATCAAACACAGGGCCTCATGCAGGGAAGGCAAGGACTCTTCGCTGAGCCACCTTCCCAGCCCCAAAATTCAATTCTTGATAAAACAAATAAAGACAAGTATATACATCTGTAAGACAGAATAAGTTCAAAATGCACAACTTCTTGTAAGGAAAAGAAATCTTTGTAAGGAAAGCAAATGAAGGGGAAAAAAAAAACACCTTTCTCTTGCCTTCTAAGGAAAGGAGAACAAATAGAAGTTAAGAAGCAGAAATCCAAGTACAGCTAGGCATTGGTGGCTCATGCCAGTAATCCCAGCTACTCAGGAAGCTGAGATCTGAAGATCTAGGTTCGAGCTCAGCTCAGGCAGAAAAGTCCCTGTGAGACTCTTATTGCTAATTAACCACTCAAAAACTGGAAGTGGAGCTGTGGCTCAAAGTGATAGAGTGCTAACTTTGAACAAAAAAAGAGCTCAGGGGCAGCTCACAGGCCCTAAATTCAAGCCCACAATAAAAAATAAAAGAATCAAGAACACCTTAGTACTTAATCATGACTTTCCAAACTGATTTATCTACTCATTACAAATGCTGATCTATAAACACATACACATATCCATACATACAAAATAGTCTTACCTCTTTAATTAGAAGCTTAAAAACAGAAGGCACTTTCACAGCAATCTCATTTATTCCATAAAGCAATTTTCTATAACAGGAAAATACAATAATAGTGTTAGGTTGAATTATATAATAGTGTAATTTAAGAAAGGCATCGTATTAGATAAAGTTCAAACCACAGACTGTTCTTAAATTCTTGTTTCTAAAAGCCTGTGTTCTATGACTAAAATTCTCTACCTTGAAAAAAAATTTTGTGTACAATATTTAAACAAAGAAGTCAACACTAAGTAATTGCATGGTTTGCATTTTATTTCACTATCTCATGTCTTTACATTCATCGAGTTTTTCTCACTTGTCAATAATAAACCATGCTAGCACAGACTCTTTTCTCCATCCTTGAATAGGTCTTAACAAGATCTATATTACAATTAATTTTTTTTACAAAAGGTAAATCTGAGAATCCTGTACTATTTTTCTAACAAGGATATTGGTACTAAAAGTGTTGATTTCAAATTCCGTATATTTTAGAACACAACACTTTAAAAAAAACATTAGGGACTCACTTGCCTAGGACTGAGGCCCTATGGTTATCCCCAATTCTGCCAAAAAAAGAGAAGAGAGGGGAGGGGAGGGGAAAAGAGAAGGGAAGGGAAGGGAAAAGAGAAGGGAGGGGAGGGGAGGGGAAAAGAGAAGGGAAGGGAAGGGAAAAGAGAAGGGAGGGGAGGGGAGGGGAAAAGAGAAGGGAAGGGAAGGGAAAAGAGAAGGGAGGGGAGGGGAGGGGAAAAGAGAAGGGAAGGGAAGGGAAAAGAGAAGGGAGGGGAGGGGAGGGGAAAAGAGAAGGGAAGGGAAGGGAAAAGAGAAGGGAGGGGAGGGGAGGGGAGGGGAGGGAAAAAAGAGAAAAGAAAAAGAGGAAAGGAAATGGTTGCTTAAATCCTCCCACTTAATTCCTTATAATTGGACTTTCTATATGATATAGTAACTTTTGCCTTTTATACAGTTAAGTCTAAATTTTTTATTCTAGCCCTTTTTGGGGGGAGGGGGACATGCTATAGTTGTAATAGAAAATTTATAATTGAGCCAAACTAGAGTCATGACTCAAGCATTAAGGCACTGGATGATCAAGCTAGCTAAATAAAAATACACAGTCTTGAGTTAAAGCCCCAATACCAGTGCAGAAAAAAATATTATAATATGAAAATAACTTTTACCTTTAAACTAAGACACAGTGGCATACTTTTATGCTTTAACGAAGAATAACACAATGAAAAAAAGTATGGCTCCCAACTTGTGGTAAGTCTGAGCTCATGCTTACAATTCCAAGTATTTCAGAAAATCTAAGATGCTACCAACTTACAAAACATTCCACTATTTTATATATGATCAACATAAAACTTTGTTGAGCAAAGAATGGTACCTACCAACTATATGACACACCTCAATTTCAGAGAGCAAAATGCAGGAAGTTTTGCACCTTAGAGTTGATGAAATATGGTATAACTTCAAGAATATCACCTTCAACAAAGCTTTAACTTTCTGTAACTTTTTTCCTTTTTTCTTTTTTTTTTTTCTGCCAGTCGTGGGCCTGAACTCTGGGCCAGGGCGTTGTCCCTCAGCTCTTCAGCTCAAGGCTAGCACCCTACCATTTGAGCCACAGCACCATTTCCAGCTTTTTCTGCTTATGTGGTGCTGAGGAATAGAACTCAGGGCCTCATGCATGCAAGGCAAGCACTCTACCACTGAGCCACCTTCCCAGCCCAACTTTCTATAACTCTTAAACTGAGTTTTACTCAAATAAGATAGCAGTTGGTTCTCAACTACTAGTCAATAATCTTTAAATACCTGCTAATATATATATAAAATAATGGATAGGCTATATATACTCCTAAATAAAGGAATTTTGAGAAGAGGTCTAACTTTAGTTTGATAAAAATTACCTGTAGGCATGCATCCCCTTTGTCAGTCCTGCACTATGCTTTTCATAAATTGACGTACAAGAAACACCTTCATCCAGTCCCCTAAATAAATCCAAAGTTTTTACTTTAAACAAAGTTTCAAATATCCAAATTTCTTAATGCCTCATTTTTCTACATGCCTGATTTTAGAACCTCCTTCCAAACTTCTTAAAAATCCTTAACAAAAATGTAGAAATAACAGACGAGAATCTTTAAAGTCTCAAATTCTTAAGATAAACAATAATGGTCTAAATCTCAAACACAACAACCAAGTTATCAACTGCATTTATCAAATGAAAAGATGACAACTCAACTTTAATGTAGTAACATATTCCTTTAACATGGTGCCAAAACTGAGATAATAATTAAATTAATAAAATTTAAGGTAAAAAATGTAAGTAATTTGAGAATTCTAAACTACAGATTAAAAAGTTTTTATCAACATAGGTTCTCCTTTACAATATTAAGCCTAAAAGAAATCCTATTCATCATCTTCCATCTCCACAAAAGCAACAAAATAAATCTTTTCCTTAGCTAGTTGCATACCTAGGTTAAAAGGACAGAATTTTAAGTCAGAGTCAATGTCTAAGGCTTATCATAATTCTAACTAGCATCCAACTAACACATCTATTTTCCCAAAATATCTTAAATATACTTAACATTTTAATGGAGATACCAGCCAAACAACTCCAAAGCAAAGAGAATAGTAGACGTACTTAATTCTAATCCTTTTCCAAATAGGAAAGCTAAGTCTCATATTGATTTCACTGAGATAAGTTGAAACTTTGTAAGTATTCTATAACTGACAGAAATTACATAGAAAATATATTTAAAAAATTTTCCCCACTGAAATTGATAACCTTTCCAGAAGGCACCAAGAACCAGCATGCTCCAATATTAATGTTTTAGCAAAGTGGCAGCTTATTTACAATTTCATTTAAAGCAATAATTCTAAATCAAGATTTTTAGAATTCAGTATGTGAAAATGCTTCGGCTCATGTGTCTGATGAAAAATCTAGGAATTTATGTAAATATTCATGATTCTTGATTCTTCTGTTAGATTTAAGATATGTGAATGTTTATAATAACCCTTTGAACAAGAACAAAAAAACACTAAATCCTCAGCAAGGTAACACTGGAGGACTGCCTACGCCCAGTAATGTGGGGACAGTATAAATCCCATATTTTAAAGAAAAACATACAAATTCAGCAATTAGATGATGAACTCATCACACAAAAGATAAATTTTAAGAGATTAATCCTGTTTGTCCTACCCAAAGATGACCTGTTTGCCTATGCCCTATACTCTAGCTAAACAGTTTAAAAGTAAGTTTCTAACTCTCTATGACTTGACTTCTCAAAACTGAATGGGACTGCTAACAAATCAGGAAGTCATGATTCAGATACTCGAAAACATAGGGGCTGTAAGTGTGGCTCAGTGGTACAGTCCCTATTTATTAGTATTCTTGAGTCAATATCTAAGTTTGATCTCCAACACAAGCACACCATAAAAAATATCTAAGCGTTGCCAGGCGCTGGTGGCTCATGCCTGTAATCCTAGCTACTCAGGAGGCTGAGATCTGAGGATCATGGTTCAAAGCCAGCCCAGACAGGAATGTACATGAGACTCTTATCTCCAATTAACCACCAGAAAACCAGAAGTGGCACTGTGGCTAAAGTGGAAGAATGTTCTTGCCTTAAGCTGAAGAGCTCAGGGACAGTACCCAGGCCCAGAGTTCAAGCCCTAAAACTGACAAAAACAAAACAAAACATCACATCTAAGTCAGCTGAGTGCTGGTGGCTCGGTCTTTAATTCTTGCTACTCGGGAGGATGAGAGCTGAGGGTGAAACCAGTGCAGGCAGGAAAGTCCAAGTAAGATGGCTCAAAGTTGTAAAGCACTAGTCTTGAGCAGAAAAGCTAAGGGACAACACACAGACCCTGAGTTTAAGATCCCCAACACACACAGACACACACACACAAATATGTATGTCAAAACTTAAGGTACAGATATACTCAAATTCTCTTTGAAGTAAAAATGAAAAAGCAATTAGTCTTGGAGGATTTTGTTATCACAGTGCTGCTAAAGGCTTTCACCATGTATTCCTCCCAGTGTGGCTTCAAACTTGAGATCCCATGCCTCAGCCTCCCAGGTACTGGAATTACAAGTATAACACACCTGGATTATTTCTAAATTTTATGTAAAATTTAGGTACAATTTCCTTTAAAAAAAAAACACAGTAACTCTTCAAATAACACTGGTGAATTATCAGGGAATACAGTTACACAAAAACTTCCTTAATTTTATGTAACACTAGAACAAATTCTCTTTTTAGTGTACATTTATAATATGGTACAAGCAAAAGAAAGGTACTTACTTTAAGAAATCAAAATTGTGAATGGTATCATTCCAGAAATATTTTACACTATGGTGGGTGAAATAACGAATCTGTAGAATATACACAAATGTTACAAAGAACTTATCATTGCTTATTATAATATGTAATGTTTCTTCTATTAATACCTAAACTTAGTGATATTTTATATGCATATAAAAATGTTATCTTAGGCAGTAACTACAAAGTATAAGCTATATGACAGTATAAAGTGTTAACTGGTTTTAAAGAAAATTTGACACTGATCACAATACCTGTTGTGACTGAGTCTGTGAATATTTATTCATTTCATGGCTAGTATCTTCAGCAGGATTCTCAGTTAAATGGACTGCATGGCCATTTGAAATCTTATTAGCTATAGATTTTGGATTAACAAATGGGTGACTTTCCAGAGAAAGAAAGCGAATTTTTGCACAAAACCACATTTTGAATTCATCCTTAGGAGAACGAGAAAAAGGTCAAGAATCAGTTATATATATACATATACACATACACACACATTACAAAACTGCCTATATTTTCATTTAATTCCCATTCTTTACATATTTAATCATCTCTTATTGAAAAAGCATCGTTTGGAGTCTTTAACTCCCATTACCTACAATGAGGAACAGGAAATGTTTCTTTTTTTTTCTATTTTTTCCCTACTTTATCCTGTTGTACTAAAATAAATCCTTGATAGATTTTTTTAAAAAGCCTCATTTCCTACTCACTAAACTTCAAAAGATGAATCAATTCAAACATACTTTCATTGCTCACCAATTTTATACTTCACCAGTTTAATAAATACTAGTCTATTCCATTGAATATTACAATTCCTTAATTGACCCACCTACATATGAACACTAGATATTAAAACCTCTCATAAAATGCTAATCCAATTAATTAAAAAAAAACTCCTGAGATATAGGAGCATCATACATTAGATAGGCAGCTAGTCTATCTGAGGCATAGTCCAATCAGTGGAGATCTGGGCTCTAATCCTAAAGTGCCAGTACCTTAAAAGGTTAAGTCTTAACTCTCAGGGTAAGCTAGGTCAGTATTCAATTTTCACAAGGAAAAAGAGAGAGGAAAAGAAAGAGAGTGAGAGAAAGGAACTCAGAACAACCTCTAAGGGTTATCAAGAGCTATAAAAGGAAGTGAGTAACCTGATCATCTTTAAGATTTCCTTAAATTCTAGTCATTATAAAAATTTTCACCTCAGTTAGGCACTGGAAACTCATGACTATAATCCCAGCTACTCAGGAGGCTTAGATCTGAAGATTACAGTTCAAAGCCAGCCTAGGCAGGAAAATCCATGAGACTTTTTACCTCCAATTAATCACTAGAAAACCAGAAGTGGCACCATGGCTGAAAGTGGGAGGCACTAGCCTTGAGCAAAAAAAAGCTCAGGGATAGTGCCCAGGCCATGAGTTCAAGCCCCATCACCAACCAAAAGAAAAAAAATTAACTTCAAATAGATATTTTATAAATATTAACTAGAGAAAGATTCTTCATTATCTCCTAGCAATTGTGTTCCACTAAATATTACTTTGAACAAAGCACATGCAAAATCATTATTTTACTCCTGGAATATTCAATAAATGCGTGGACTTACAGTAGTCCTCAGCAGCACCACTTCACAGTCTTTAATTGCAGCTCTGATACAGGTTGCTTTCACCCGCCACTCTGGCATCCAGTAGAGGAGCAGGAGGAGAAACCCACCAGTGCAAATCACTCCTAAAGAAACTATGGCAAGTTTCCAGCGACTCAAATTATAACCATAAATCTCCTGCATGAACACAGTAATCACATAATAATTATCAAATGATACAGCAAATGAATTCACACTTTCCTTGTTTCCAAAATTGTCTTAAAGTATCACAAACTAAATATTTAGTCATAAACTAAGTATTTTTAATCTATAATTCACCTTTAAACTTTGTTTCTAATAACTTCTAGTCTAAATTACACTTTTAATAGTAAAATTTGTTAGTATTTACACTTTATGGTTTTATTACTGATCTGCTTTATAAGTTCTTTCCCATTAACAGCATATTCTTTAATATGTTCTTACTTTTTATGTTTTAGTAATTCTTCCAGAATATACATTGCTACAAACTAAATTTCTAAACTTCATTTTGGAATAATTTCACATCTGCAGAGAAGTTACAAAAATATTAGTTTTTGTTGTTCTTGATGTTTTGCTAGTAGTGGGACCTAGTATTTACTCAGCTGGATCTCTACCACTTCAGCCATACTTTTGGTTCTTCTGTTTGCTGGTTAGTTTTAGAGGGAGAGACTTTCCTGCCTGGATGGCCTCGAACCAGCACCCTCCAGATCTCAGCCTTCTGATTGGCTAGGATTATAGGCATGAGCCTCTAGTACTCCAATTATTATAGAGCTCTTATAGATCTTTAGACCTCTTGTCCAGTTTCCCCTAATGTTAGGATCTTGGTACTCTTGGCTAGGCAGGCACTCTACTACTACTTGAGCCACAACTTAGCCCCTCCCCTTTTATGTTTTAGTTTCTCTGTGTGTGTGTATATGTGTTGCAGGGGTGACCTGAGGCTCAACTCAGGGTTTAACACTGTTGTCCCTGAGCTTTTATTCCTCAAGACTAGGTGCTCTCTACTTGAGTCCCAGCTCTATCTACTTTCAGCTTTTTAGTGGTTAATTTGGGATAAGAGTTTCATGAACTTTCTTGCCTTTGCTGGCTTTGAACTAGAATCCTCAGATCTTGGCCTCCTGAGTAACTAGGATTGCAGTAGTGAGCTACTGATGTCCAGTCTTTATTTTTCAGATAGTATCTCATCATTTTGCCTGGGTCTGGCTTCAGATTCTGATCCACTTACCTGTTCATTCATGCTAACTTTTTGCTAGGGCTGGCTTCAAACTGATCCTCTCAATCTCCACCTTTAAGCGAGTATCTGGGATTACAGGTATGAGCCACTGCACCCAGGCATAGAAATGGTCTCATTACAACTACCATAGGGATTTCCAGATGTAACAAATCAAAATGCAGAGGTCTTAAATTTCAAATAAGAAATGAATTTTTTGTCTATCTCATAAAACATTTGAAACATATGCCAAAAATTTATTCCTTGGTATTTGAAATTCACATTTAAAACATCTTTTATTTTACCTGACATAGCCCCACTCTAGCTCCATAACTAAAACAAGGTTTTTTTGTTAGTGTTTTTCCAATTAAGTTGGTTTTTCAACTATACTAAAACTGAAAATCTTTTTTTACAGTATTTTAAAATATTTATTAAAGAAATCAAAAGATAAAAAAATCTTTATCGATTTTTACAAAATACATTGCAAACGGCAAAATGGTGAGACAACGCCAATGCAGCAGCGATACTCACAAGACAACATGTTGGCAATGAACTTTACAACTTCAGAGGGTGCATTGTGGGAGAGGGAAAGTGGGAGAAAAATGAGGGAGGGGGTAACAGTGCTTGACAAGAAATGTACTGACTACCTTATATAACTGTAACCACTCTGTACATCACCTTGACAATAAAATTAAATTTAAAAAAAATTTTTTAAAGAAAAAAATACATTGCAAACATGTTTCATCAGATACTGTAAACTGAAAATCTTTATTAGGGATTTTATTTTATTATTAGCTAGTGTAATATCTTCAATTACCAAATGCCAAAGCATACTTCTCCAAGTTTTAGCCATAAGAAATGAATTACATTTAAGCCAACAAATACAGATACTACTACATAATCTCAATTCAAAAACACAGGATAAGAGGGAAAAAAAAAAACACCTCACTGACTTTTTTTTTCCAGTCATGGGGCTTAAACTCTCTGAGCTTCTTTTGCTCAAGGCTAGCGCTTTACCACTTGAACCACAGCGCCACTTCCAGCTTTTTCTGTTTATAAGGTGCTGAGGAATCAAACCCAGGGCCTCATGCATACAAGACAAACACTCTACCACTGAGCCACCTTCCCAGCCCCTCTACTGAGATTGTAAACTGTACTTTTCTACTTTCTATGAAAAAATATCACATACTTCACAAGTAAAGCATGAAAGCTGATTACCATTTCATCTTCTTGACCCTGGTTGATAGTCTTCCTTTCTTCTCTGTCCATATCTACAGTGATTTGAAAAGTTTGTGCTTCACAACACTTGAAGATAACTGAGGGAATAAACAAATGTTGGTGAATTTTTTTTAAATCTCAATAGACTTAACTTCATTCTACAATTGCCTTAAAGTATTCTGACTTTTTAAAGTCCCAATAACTATTTAACTTCATTCTACAATTGTCTTTGAAAATATTTTAGTTAAATAGTAATTCTTCCAAGACAATGTTGAATACTTCCTAATTTTCTTCTATAGCTTTTTTTTTTTTCCAGAGCTGAGGACCGAACTCAGGGCCTTGTGCTTGCTAGGCGGGTGCTCTTCCAGTGAGCTAAACCTCCAACCCCTTCCTAATTTTCTTATAATACAAGTCCATTTGATATAATTAAGTTGGTTCTCTTGGCAATTCAACAGTATGTTAACTAAAACTAAGAACATTGCATTGATACACCTATACTTGCTATAGACTTGATTCAGAACAATTTAAATTCTAAGAAAACCTATTATAAAATCGTCCTTTCTCATTCCCCAGATTCAAGAAGTAGTCTTAAATTTAACCCCTTGATTTAAAATGCTTTATAGAATTCAACTTATGCTTTGAACTAGAGTAAAGAATTAACAACACATCAACAGGGAAAACAACTCCAAAACCTCTCAAGATTATTCATCACCCAACCGATGCTTGCTTAGCAGTAATACCATGGCAATTCCAGGTCAAGAGTCCATAATTACTATGGCAGGAACACTCTTACTGAGAACACTTAACTGACCACCTATCCCAATTCCAAGTTCACTAAGAAAACTTCCAATGGTCTTAAACTACCCATGGAGTTTGGCTAGGGAGAAAACTCACAAGCCTCACAAACATATTTTTCCATATTTTTCTGCAATTCAATTACATCTTCAACAACCTTTTCAAGATTTGCAAAGTACAAAACAATGCCATTTTGTTTCCAATTGTTTTTGCTTCTTAGGAAACATGCATCTCATCCCTTATTTGCAATAACTAATATATGTCTAGAACAAGCAGAAAAGGTCAAAAGCTATGTACATATGATCATATAAGGATGATGTGAAGCGAAATGAACCCCAAGATAAGGACAAAAGTGGTTTTTTCTTTCTTGCTCGTTTTTAATTTATTTATAATGTACTATTTGATTTTTTTTGTTTGTTTCTTACGTATGTTCTTCCCCCGTGGTATAATCCCTGTTTTCACTGTATTTGATTCTGGTGCCCTGAATGTTGTATATACATTTTTCTAATTTGGGGAAATAACAAAATGCTGAAATAAGGATATAAGTTGACCCCTGTAAACAATGAGAGGTACAAGACGTATGTTGAAAATGAACTTTACAACTTTGGGGGAGGGAGGGTAGGGTGGAGTTGGAGAGGGAAGGGATGGTAGGGGAAAAACAGAGGAGGTAACAATGTTCGATAGGAAATGTACTCATTACCTTACTCTTGTAACTGTAACCCCTCTGTACAGTATTTTTACAATAAAAAACATTTTAAAAAAAGAAAAAGAAAATACGCATTTCAAGAAAATCTTACCTAACATGTAAGCTTATCTATTTAAATAGATACATCCTTATCTATATATCTTCCCATCGAGGAAGGGCTCGACTAACAAGGAGAATGAAAGAATATGAAATACATAATTTGAAGCTATGAAAACAAAACAATGAAACCTGTTAAAAATTGTTTTGGAAAGGGGGAAGTGACCTAAAAAAAAAAAAAGCAAGCTAATTGAAAAAAAAATAAAAAAAGAAACAAACCAAACACCAGTGGCTCACGCCTGTAATCCTAGCTACTCAGGAGGCTGAGATCTAAGGATCTCAGTTCAAAGGTAGCCAGGCAGGAAAGTTCATGACACTATTCTCTCCAATTAACTACCAGAAATCCAGAAGTAGTGTTGTGGATCAAGTGGAAGAATGCTAGCCTTGAGCAAAAAATGCTCAGGCATAGTGCCCAGGCCCTGAGTTCCAGCACCCAAAAAACAAAAACAAAACCACATACATTCATGAAGGTAATCCTTCTTGCCTTCATAGGAAAGAACTGCCTGGAGATGCTCAAAACTTGTCGCTGTAACTTTATTCTCACATATAGATAACACTGACTTCATTAGAAGTGGGGGAATCTAGTCAGAAGGCTCCCTGTAGAGTATGGAAAATTCCTAGGGATCAATTTAGTCTAAACAAATTGTTAGAGGCAAATGAACTAAATTTCTCCACAATTTCTTCAGAGTACAAAGAAACTTCAGCATTTCCATTTAACATGTCAGAAACCATCTACCCAACTTTGCACAAAATATTATTGTTGTAATCAGGATGGATAATTTTAGCAATGATTTGTTAAGTCATGCTAATTACAGCCAGTGATTTGTGCATCCCAAGGTTCCACCAACCAAGATCAGAAATATTTGAGGGGAGAAAACTCTGAATTTGTACTAAACATATATAGACCTTTATCTTGCCATTATTTCTTAAGAACTACTCATAAAGCACTTTCATTGAATGAGGGATAAGTACTTGACAGATGTCTTAAGACACAAAGCGGGGGCTGGGAAGGTGGCTCAGTGGTAGAGCGCTTGCCTTGCATGCCTGAGGCCCTGGGTTCAATTCCTCAGCACCACATAAGCAAAAAGAAAAAAGCCGGAAGTGGCACTGTGGCTCAAGTGGTAGAGCGCTAGCCTTGAGCTGAAGAGCTGAGGGACAGCACCCAGGCCCAGAGTTCAAGCCCCACGACTGGACCCCCCCCCAAAAAAAAGACACAAAGGTAGGGCATGCAAAGCGAAAATAAAAATACTACACCATATTATATATGGGACTTAAGCAGCCTCAGAATTTGGTATCTGAATAGAATCCTCAAATCAATACCCACAGATACCAACAGACAACTTTATTTAAAATATCAGGATTTTGTTTGTTTTCTGTTTGTTTTGGTTTTGAGACAAGATCCCACTAAGTAGCTTAGAATGGCCTGAAACTCACTTTGTCTTTGAGGCTGGCCTTAAACTAGAAATCCTCTGGCCTCAGCTTCCCTTATTGTTGGATCACAGGCATGTAGCACCAAGCCTGGCAAACTTACCAGTTTTAATCTATAATTCAATTATAAATAGATATAACCCAGATAGACAAAATCTCTTGTACCATCCACAATCATTTGTATAAAAGAGTGAGTTTGAATCCAAAAAAGTTTGAGTTGCTATTACCTCCCTATTTCAGATGCTATAATTCCATTTATGGCCAGTTTGGCACATGGCAGGTAGTCGGAAACACTTGCTTCAATAAATGACCTGATAAGTATAAAGAGCCAAGTAAAAGTCAGATGAAAAATTTTAATCTCATACATTATCTCTCCACATATATCATCAACCAAATAATCAATGAAAAACACTGGGCTCCGTGTCTTTGTGGAAATGGGAAAGTCTTAAAGATATATGATCCAGCTCCTCTAAAAAAAATTGTTAGGTTTTTATTTTTTTATTTATTTTTTTTGGGGGGGTCCAGTACTGGGGCCTGAACTCTGGGCCTGCACGCTGTCCCTCAGCTCTTCAGCTCAAGGCTAGCGCTCTACCACTTGAGCCACAGTGCCACTTCCGACTTTTTTCTTTTTGCTTATGTGGTGCAAAGGAATCGAATCCAGGGCCTCATGCATGCAAGGCAAGCGCTCTACCACTGAGCCACCTTCCCAGCCCCAATTGTTAGGTTTTTAAAAAGAGGTAGCCGAGTAAGAACAACACCACACACGTGGTATTCAGGTAAGGGATAGGTTTGTTTAGTAGACCTGCTGGAACCAGGCAAGGTTGGCACTCCACGAGGCTGGCAAAAGAGGGCTGGCAAAAGAGAGCGTCTGGTCCTGGGTTAGGCCTTATATTGGGGGGGGGGTGTCCAGGTAAAGGGAAGTGGGACCAAGTAAGAGGTGGGACCAGGTGGGAGAAAGGTGTGGCCACATCAGATTCAGATATGACCTCAGCGGATGCAGATGTGACCTCTTCCAGGTGTCCCAGTTGCCTAGGTAACGCAGGCACTGGGTGGGGTCTGCTCGCCATCCAGGAATGGACCTTACACAAATTACATTGCCATTCAAAAATCTTTGGGTAGCCCAGTGCTGGTGGCTCAACACCTGTAATCCTAGCTATTCAGGAGGATGAGATCTGAGGATCACAGTTAGAAGCCAGCCAGGGCTTATCTCCAATAAACTACTCAAAAATGGGAAGTAGTGCTGTGACTCAAGTGGTAGAAAGTGAGCCTTGAGCACAAAGAGCCTCAGGGACAGCACCCAGGCCCAGAGTTCAAGCCCCACAGTGACCAAAAAATAAACAAACAAATAAACAAAACCTTTGAGTAATTTAAGAACAACTTCAAAGGTTGGGAATGTAGCTTAGTGGTAGAGTGCTGTCTAGCATGCATGAAGCCCTTGAGTTCCATTCCTCAGTACCACATAAACAGAAAAGCCAGAAGTAGTGCTGTGGCTCTAGTAGTAGAATGCTAGCCTTGAGCTAAAGAAGCTCTGGGACAGCGCCCAGGCCCTGAGTTCAAGCTCCAGGACTAGCAACAGCAGCAGCAACAACAACAAAAAAAAGAACCACCTTCTCAGTTTTGGGCAGTGCTTGGGCCCTGAAGCATCCTATTATTCCAATGTGGTAATAATGATCCACTAAATCAATTTGACTTGAGGCAGAAAAATTCTCAAAGGCTACCTACTTTGGATTTTTAAAAAATAAAGCAAGTCCAAACTCTTTCTCTATGAAAAAGATCTGCAGTCATTGTTTGCATGTATCATAGTGGAAGCCACCTAAAAAAAAAAAATCAAAAACTAAAAAACCTACAGCCTGGGGCTGGGAAGGTGGCTCAGTAGTAGAGCGCTTGCCTTGCGTGCATGAGGCCCTGGGTTCAATTCCTCAGCACCACATAAGCAAAAAGAACAAAGTCGGAAGTTGCAGTGTGGCTCAAGTGGTAGAGTGCTAGCCTTGAGCTGAAGAGCTGAGGGACAGCGTGCAGGCCCAGAGTTCAGGCCCCAGGACCGGACCCAAAATAAAAAACCTATAGCCACTGTAAGCTGTGGAACCTGAACCTAAAGCATCCCAATATTCATGGTAAGATGTAAGAGGGACCCCCCACACACACACACAAAAAAAAAGTGCAATAAAATGACAAATTCTTTCCACAGTAGTTGAAAATTATAAACAGATTCAAGTTCAACTAATACTAGGCAAAAAAAAAAAAAACCTAAGCAAACTGCTTCCCAAAAAAGTGCAAGAAAAAAAAAAAAACTAAAAGCAACTAGAAAGAAAAAAAAAGCATTTAGATAAGAATGACATTATGGGGGCTGGGAAGGTGTCTCAGTGGTAGAGTACTTGCCTTGCATGCATGAGGCCCTGGGTTCGATTCCTCAGCAACACAAGCAGAAAAAAAAAAGCCAGAAGTGGTGCTGTGGCTCAAGTGGTAGAGTGCTAGCCTGGAGGTGAAGAGCTGAGGGACAGCGCCCAGGCCCAGAGTTCAGTCCCACTACCGGACCCCCCCCACAAAAAAAAGAATGACATTATGCTGTTGTATACTGCTGAGAGCTGTGAGACTATATTCTATAGTCTGCATCCTTGCAAACTGATTCCAGAGTGGCAGAAGGGCCCAATCCCGGAGAGACTCTGGAACTAAAAATAGTAGGTGGATAGCAGGTAGGGTACTGACAGGCAGGTGCAAGCTGTTGACTGGGTAGTTTAGAGGCAACTCCATGGATTCTACCATGGGGAAGCAAAGGGGCAACTTGAGCTGGGTTTCAAGACTGCTTTGCCAATTGGTGCTGCCAGAAACCAATGTGTGCTCCAAGTGTAAGTTGTTTCCAGTCAGGTACCAGCTAACTCCTGTAATCCTAGCTACTCAGGAGACTGAGATCTGAGGATCCCAGTTTGAAGCCAGCCTGGGCTCATTAAAGTCAATGAGACTCTTCTCTCCAATTAACCACCAATTTTTTTTTTTAAGTGGAACTCTGAATCAAGTGGTAGAGTGCTAACCTTGAGCAAAAAAGCTCAGGCCCTGAGTTCAAGCCCCAGGAACAAACACATAAATACACACACACACACACCCCAAAAGTTGATTCCAGAAGCTCTAAAAGTAGACTTGAGGATTCTACTATTGCAAGAACTAGGAGATAAACATTTACTTTCTGACCCTGCCACTAAGGATCCTGCTGTTTGACATTGCCCATTTATAAGAAGATGAGCATACTAGCAATTCCAGTGAAATGACACAAATTCCCAAAGATATTGGGAAGTGTATGCCAAGAGAATCCTATTATGTGGCAGTTGTATTTATAAGGTTACATAACAGCTCTTCAAGAAGCATAAATATTGACAACTCTGACTCCATAAAAGGCTCAAGTCCACTGCTCAACCTACTATATAGCAGTACTTTGGGCAAACTCTTTAATTCATGTAACTTTTGTTGTTGGTTTTCGAATCTTACTCTTCTACATCCTTATCTTTTAGCCTTGCTTACAAATAATGTCTCACTTTTATAAATCCTATTTTTCCCGTGTAAGAAATTTTATCAGATCAGTAGGCACATGTTTATAATTTTAAAGAACATCTATTAAAACTTAATGTTTTCATTAAGGCCACATACTTACAACTACTTAAAAACTTTTCTACTATATCTTGACTAAGTTCATCTTAGTCTATCCTACCAATATTCTGATCTCCCACAATTAAAGAACATAGCAAAAACTACTTTGATTATTTATAAATCAATTTTAACAACCTATTTTCATACTTTTCTAAATTATTGACCATTCAAGCCCCACGACCGACAAAAAAAAAAAATAAAACTATATAGAGCACTAAATTATTGACCATATCATTACTTTATCCAGAATTGAATTGCTTTTTAAGTAAAATCCTTTTCCTATAAATTTTGCCATAGTTAGTAAATTGTGAAAAATAATTTAAATGTAAAACTGCTCGTTAAGTCAACTATTACTCACTTTAAGCATATTATATACATCATAGGAAATAAACAAGAATTCACTCTTCACCTAAAGTTTTAAAGAACTCCAAAATAACAATTTTCCAACATACTTAAATTTAAAACATATACATATCATAAATGTTTACTTAAAATTTGAAAACATGTACATAAATAGAAAGCCTCTAACATTTCAGTGACACCACAACTATATTAAAAAAATGAGATACACTGCTTATCAAAATGTGTATTATCAAAATGCATATTATTCTCACATAATCAGATATTTAAAGCATTAATAGCAAAACTTAAAATAATACTTAAAGTGTAGCTTTAGTGATTTGCTAGAGCATATGTGTTAAAGTCAATCTCACCATCACAAAAAATAAAAGAAATTTTTCTTACCAATAGCACTATACCATCATTCCTCAAATGCTGACACAGGGGCTTTCAGAAGCTGGCTCTTTAAAATAAAAACAAAACTAAGCATAAAAATCCATTCAAGTTTGAGAACTGTATGTCAAATACTTCTTTTTAAACTGCTTTAAAAATGATTAAGGCATCTGAATTTAGAATTTTAAAAAAAAATTTATACAGGCTTTTAAGAGATGTATTCTTCTGCTGACACTGGCAGAGCTATTATCTGAATAACCCTATCTTGCTAACTCACTGAAGTTCCAATTCCACAGCACGCGGCAGAGTCTTGATGTTATCTAAATAGCAAAGAGCTTATAGGCTATTGTGCTTAACCAAACCCTTCCTTGAGTTTACAATGAATTTGATTTGCTGTTTAAAAGAAAAAAAAAAAGCAGTACTGGACAAAGTGACGCTACCAGGAATAAATATCACTAATAAATCTCACTTGTTTTCCTTTAAGTTTACTTCCCCCACCCCGTATTATGTAATCACTAATTAGGACTTTGGGTAAGCTTTAGCCTAGGCTAAAAGTTAATCAAATCGCACTTCCTAAAACAAGATTAGCTGATTTCCTCAGGTTATCTTTGTTTCAAACCTGAACTTTTTATGAGCTACAACATAAACACTGAGATGTAATGTAGCTAGGGTTCAGTGGAAAGCCACTTGCCTAACAGTAATACTGTAGTAGTTAACTATATAGAGTTTTGAGTTCTTAAAAAAAGATAATCTGCATAGTTCCCTAGAATTCCAAGTAGATATCCACAAAGTAACACTGAGGGGCTGGGGAGGTGGCTCAGTGGTAGAGCACTTGCCTTGCATGCATGAGGCCCTGGGTGCAATTCCTCAGCACCACATAAGTAAAAAGAAAAAAGCCGGAAGTGGCGCTGTGGCTCAAGTGGTAGAGCGCTAGCCTTGAGCTGAAGAGCTGAGGGACAGCGCCCAGGCCCAGAGTTCAGGCC